GATCATTTCCAAAGTTGAACCGTGGACGTGGTACATTCCCAAACGTTTCGCCGGCATCGTAATCGGCATCATCAGTGAGTCTCGCCATTCTTAGCACCATTCAACAACTCGTCAAAGAGACAAGTAAAGCCGACCAAACGTGTGCTAAACAGTCGTGGCATCTCCCCTTCTGCCCTGGGCTATTCACATTTCCTAAATCATTCTATCAGACGGATCTTACGGGGAAGGAGGGAGATTTAGATAGGACCCAGGGAAGGACTACGTAACAATATGACAGACTCTGGTCAACATTCAGAGGACAAGGGTGAAGGGGGTGAGAACGCCATGTGTAGTGTAAAGGGTTTTCATGGATGCCGCTCGAAGGAACACACCATGCTACATCAAAATAAGTACGGTAAAAATTGTGACAGGGAAGGTGTGATAGGATTTAGGAAATGTGAATAGCCCAGGGCAGAAGGGGAGGTGCCACAACTGTTTAACACACGTTTAGTCAAAGGGTCGGCTTCACTTGTCTCTGACGAGTTGTTGAATGGTGCTAAGAATGGCGAGACTCCCTCATGATGCCGGCGAGACGTCTGGGAATGTACCACGTCCACGGTCCTACTCTGGAAATGATGATGCATACAATGGACTCCAGACTAGGTGCGTTCCTCTAAGTCTTCCTACCAATATGACTATGTTGCGAAAACAAGGTCAAACAACCTCTATGTGAAATTAAATTCAAATCAGTTGGAAAAATTCAAATGCCAGTCACCTAATCACCTTAAGCGAAATAGGATGAGCACACTTCATACATAAAAATAAACCGATAAAGCTAGTAGAAAAAATACGTTATGAAAACTAGATTTGTACTTTATGTATTAGTAAGACATACAAGATAATTATTATTAGGCAATTACACAAAGGAAACCATTTATATGAAGTAAATTGATGTGCTATGATCAAGGTCCTGTTTAATAAATAAAAAATGAAGACTTACCTCCAGGCTTCATACCTCCACCAAAACTGCCTTCGCCGCCTCCTACAGGTTTAGAAGCATTGGGACCCTGCCAATCATGACGCCCTTTACCAAATCCAGCGGAGTAACCGTATCCAGCACAAAATGAGCCCCTAATATTTTTACCCATTTGACAATCAATCATGCCATTGCCAAATCCAGAACCCACGGCAGCACTGCTCGGGTGCTCCTTTTCTCGGGGGAGACTAGGTCCCAATCCATTGTAATTGGTCCCAGGGCCCCAATTTGTCCGACCAGTCATAGACAGATCGCCGAAGGCTCTAGGACCACGTAAGTGGTGATCCGGTCTGTTACCCATAAGACTAGGGACAAAAGGACCACTATGGCCAACAAAACCACTGGCATTTAGATGAGGGGCTCCCTATTAAATCAAAAAAATATATAAGCACATTTACTGGTAAATTA